TATATATATATATAATAAATAAATATATATAAATACCTGTGGTGCTTAGGACACACTTTGCGTCTGCACTATTCAAAGTGCATGTTGCATTGCCGCAACATTTTGGATTAGACTGACAGAAAGTATCGCTCCATCTGTGGTCTGGTTTGCAGTGACATACCTTCCCGCCTGTACCATTTGTGCAGACTTATAAGGACAAGAGTTATGCAGGGTTAGAGTTAGAGGTTATATAAGTATTTTCTTCAGAAATCACAGCATGGTGTATGTGGAAGATTGGAAATTAGTTTACCTGTTGTCATTACAGGTGCTTCAACAAATGTATTTTTATACGTAAAATTCTTCAGTATGCTCGTGATATTTGCAATTGCACTTTTGTCTATTATCAGTTTGGCATAAAGCATTTGGGTTGAGTTATCAGCCTGTGAAAGAAAAGTGTTTCCATTTTTTTTTAATTTCATGATACAGTTGATATTTAAGATCAAAATGTTTAATTGATGTAATCAACAAACCTGGCAGAAATTTATGCCCAAGATGTAAAGAAATAAAAAGGTCCACATCCTGTTTTTGGAAAAATAAATGATATTTTTAAAAAGTATTTGGCAAACAATAGCATTCATTAATTATAAATACTATAATTAAAATGTTGCACTTCCATGCAACACCAGCAAAAAAAATCTGCCTTTGCAGAGCTTAAAATGGCGATATCAGAATCAGAATACTTAACTTATCCCAGAGGAAACTTTGTGGTCACAATTGCTCCAAGACAGCAAGGACAGTAGTGAAAATTACCAACATTAAAAAATACAATATATTAAAAGCTAGCTCTAATACAAATTACTCTAACATATAAAAATCCTGATGTATTACACAAAAGAAATATAAAATAAGTTGAAATTGAGGTGCCCGTCTTATACTGACTGCCAGGGTTCATACTTCCAAAATTCTAATACCTCTTGAGCCATAGCCATCCACAATTGAGGATCAAATTTCAAATACATATTTAAGAAATTCCAAGTTTCTTAAAAACACTATTTTCAGCCAAATTATTTTTAAATGGTCACATTGAGGAAAATCATAAATACTTAAATTTTTACTAACCTGGTGTACAGGATGGTAGAAGGACCCATTAGAGCCCCAAAATGATGAAGGTGCACCAGGTATCCCTACTGCTGCTCACAAGGAAATGGTCAACAGAAGACTGAAGTATTTTTTAACGTGACAGCAGTAGATGACCTGTAGAGGTTACTGCAGATAGACATGCAAAGTAAAAAGGCTGTCATGTACCACTAATTTGACTATCAAAAACAGAGACTGAATGGTGTTTGTGTGTAATATGGTTTTCATTTTTGAAACTATGTGTACAGAAAGTGCAGTGTCACCTGAATAACTCCACACTACAGCAAAAGTGAAGTTTATTTATTAGATATGAGGCATAGTTTTTATGATGTCATATATGAAAAGGACAGTTTTTATATCACTGATGTTTGCCTTCAAACAGTATTATATTGTTTATTCAGTGTTCAACTTGGTGCTTCAGAGTAACTTAAGCATGTGTTAATGTGAGGTTTATATACATGCTTTTGACTATAAGTGGGAATTTGTTTGGGTTTCTTGGAGTATTTCATCGTGGACTGGGAAAATACACAAAGGATAAAAGCTGGATTTATAGGAGATAAACTGTTGCATTTACTTAGCTACATGTAGCAACTAGCCAGTAGATGGCCATTCATTTTATTACACATTAATGTCTCACACTAATGATTTTTCCCATTAAATTCTTTTTGTTTGAACTTTGAACTCCTCCACAGGTCTTTATATGTCAATATCAGGTTGGTTGCCATCTCCTGTTTACCAGTGATATGTCCTTATTTGACACAAATCTCAACTCTCAAAGTAAAAACATCTTTGAGCATAAACTGATGATCTTAAGTATGTTTTAGTAAATTAACGGTCCAATCCCTTCTTAACGTATTATTGCATGTATTATGTGTTGAATAATTGATTGAATTGTTAATTTTCCTTGTGAATATGTTGTACACCACCTTATCATTGAAGACCAGTGAGTACTGCATATATCTTAAAGCAAACTCTTTTCACATGACTGCAATGGCAAATCACCCCTATACCAAGTATCTATATTTACCCTTTACAGTTTTTACATAACCTTTATGTGCCAACAGACCTTATAATACAAACCATGTGTCGAGGACCGAGCGTATAGAGAAGCTCTGTAATGCAGAACTTTTATGGGTCCCTTTTGGATAATCATTAGTGGTCTGACCTTAAAATAAAGAACTCATTTGCTCTAAGTATATTACGAATACAAATGTTTAGTCAAATGAGATTTAGGAGCAACTGACAACTCTTTCTAGGCAGGGTGAACTGATAAAGAGTTCACCGCTAAACACATATTACACAAAATCTATTTGGAGAGTTATGGTATCTAACTCTTATTATTTGTTTTTAAATAATTAGCCTCAAATTTGATTTTTAGATTAAACATATGCAGTGACTTGACATCGCATTCAATTATATTTTCACAGGTGATTTAATATAGAGGAGTTCAACTGAGTTCAATTCCACCATCAGGCCGGGGTCTTTCTGTGTGGTGTTTGAGTGGGTTCTCCGCGGTACTTCGGCTTCCTCCCAACGACATGCAGGTGGGGTTAGTTTAATTGGAAACACTAAATTGCCCATAGGTGTGAATACGGGAGTGAATGTGAGTGCGATTGGTTGTCTCTGTCTATGTGTTCGCCCTGCAACAGACTGGCGACCTGTCCAGGGTGTACCCTGCCTCTCCCCCTAATACAGCTGGGATAGGCTACAGTGCTCTCCACGACCCTGAAAAGTGGATGAATGTGTTACATACAAATAACTCATGCTTGATGAAAATTACTTATTAAACAGAATGAATGAAAAAAAAATTACTCTTAGCTTTCAGTCGTTCCTATTCTGATAACACTGTAGTAGTAGTGTAATAATATATTTCTAAAATAATATTTTCATTCATCACCTTAACAATCTGGATATTATTTAAACCGATGACTTATCAGTTGGTTAAAAGAAAAAAGATAGCATTGGCAAACTTCCTTGTTTATCTTAAAAAAAAAAAAAAAAAAAAAAGGACATCCAGAATAAAAGCTGCTTTCTCCCAAACTTGATGTGAACATGCAAAACATTTATTTTAGTTTGAATGTTGTAGAGACGTCTAAATCTAACCAGCCACAACCGAAAACATGTGCATGAAGGGAGACTATAAGTTTAAAAAAAAAAAAATAGCGCATTCAAAATGTACAAGAGTAAAAAGTGTCTAAACGCATAAATGATAATATTTTGTGACTTGAATACATGATTGGAATGTAGATCTTTACATTAACAACATTTTAATGATGTAACTAGCTGGAAAATAGCTCATATATTTAAATCCTAATACTGTTGGTGTTTTTCTGTCTAGTTACTTATTATATACATTGTACGGTACAGGCAAGTTAAGAAAAAAATCAAATTGCTTTAAGGAAAGTACGATATTATATTAATACAACTAACTCAGTACGATGTTTGAGTAAGTTTGAAAAATGTCTAATCATTTAAACACCAAGCCTGTATTTTTAATGCAAGCTAATTATAAATAGCACTAGTTGTAAATTTGGACAGGGACTCAATTTTTGTCATTTTGCCTCTATACACCACCCCAGTGGATTTTAAATCAAACAATCAATATGCAATTGAAGTGTCGACTTCCAACTTTAATTCAGGAAGTTTAACAAAAGTAATCAACTGTTTTCAAATTAAATACAATTTAAAAACAGTCCTCCAGCTACATTATACTGATCTTCATGTGTGAAACTTGTACAGGGCCCGCTGAAATTTGCAACTGCAAAAATAAAATAAAAACTTAGGAAAATAAAACAAAACCCAAAAGGTTGATTCTGTTCATCTGGATGTCGTAGCGTTTTCAGTGGGAGAAACGTTTCGTCACTCATCCAAATGACTTCTTCAGCCTCAGCTGACTGCAGGTTTCCCCAACCTTATAAACAGTACGTTGCATAATGACTGAAACTAGCACCGCTGAATGAACAGTGGGATGACATTGTTCATTCAGTGGTGCTAGTTTCAGTCATATCGACCAGTTTCACTGACTTTTTGAACATGTCAAACATAAGGAATCATTTGCGCTTCCTAACACTGAGACTGAGATGGTTGTGTAGCTCTGGGTCAATTCCTTTTACAAAGTGTTGTGTTTACTTTAATATTTACTCTAAACTTCTTAAAGATGTGAAATTACCCCAGTATTAGAGGATAAAAATCAAATAAACAATTTCAATAATATAAAAAACTAAACTTTAAACATTTTCTTAAAACTTACAGAAACAAATCTATTCAAAACTACAGACAAAAAAAATGAATAAAAAAGTCAAAACATAAAACTACAAAAACTAATGAAAACAACACAAAAGACAACAACGTAACTATAAAATCTTTAATTCTCTTTAGAAAGTTTTGTACTTTTTCGGTCAAGTAATAATCAAACATTCTTAACAGACAAGGCTGTATCTTTTCACAGGACCATTTTTAAAACAGCCACAGTAATGCTAAACAGTCATCAAGTACAAAGAAAATATCACCATAAAATAGGTTTACTTCTTTTCCTCTTATGTCAAGCTCCCAACGTATCAATTTTGACATATATCAGCATAGTTCAGCTTTTTAACATGTACTCAGGAAAAACCTTCCAGAAAGCAGCTAACAATCTGAAGTGAGTCTGTTATTCTTCACCCTACTTGCTGCAGTTTTTTTATACCGTTTCAATAGGAGATGCTCAAATTTAACATGGCCAAAAAATAATGAGGTTGGCATATGTGCAAAGTTTAGGTGTGAAAGTTGCCTCTATAGTCTTTGCTCATTTAGGTCAAGGTGAGAGTGGATATTCCTAAGATAATCATCTCAGGGACTCAGCTTTGGCTCTGCTGTTTGCGAGGGGCCCTCAATCCGAATAAACCTGCTTAATGGAAGAAAAGCTAAAACGGATGTTTAACCGAGGAGCTGCCTCAGGGCCTAGTACAAGGTCAATTTGTCAGCTGCATTCACATAAAGCTGACAAGTAGTGTATGTAAGTAAGACATAACTGACTCAGACACTGACAGGTTCAGCTGAGTCTTTTGACAGAAATAGAAAAACAAACAAACAAAAAATTCTGATGTTAAATGTTGAAAAATTTGTAGCTTTGAATGCTGCAGGCATCAATCTAATGTGGACGATATTCACAACTTCTACATGTACATTTTTAGAGGGAGCTGAATAGAGCCTCTTGTGACAGACGTCGACGTCACACTGCGGTTTCATACTCTACGAAAGTCTCGGGAAGAAAATTTTCCCTCTCTTCCAGTGATGATCTATCTTCTTGTGGGAATGCCAGTCCATTACCTTCTTTGTGTTGTGAAGGTTGCCTCTGCGGTGCTGCAAGCTATATGTATATATTTTTTTAATTTAAAAAGATAAAAACACACATAAGGAAACTGATTTTTATCAAATATACCTGTGAAAAAGCAGCAAATATTTAACAGTGATCATTTTGATTATAAAAACCATGTTAGTTAGCATGCTGACATTATGCTAAATGCTACTGGTAGACACTCTCTTATTCACAAGGGGTCTCCACAGAAGGTAGCTTTACATGTTCAATTTGGTATTTTATGCCAGAGATCCTTTCTGAAAAAGCCCCAAAGGGGATCAAACCAGGGATGTTTCACATACTGCTACTGCTGTATTTTGTGCTACACATTTCCATAAACTGTTAGAATGACTGACTGCTGCCAACTTCTGAATTTTGACTCTAAATGATGCAGAGTAAATACGAACGAAATGCAAGCAAGCATACATAATATTTAGTCTAATTTTGAGGGAAAAAAAGGGGAAGCAGCATTATATTCAGTGGTGCCTGAAGATGTTTACAGATAATCCCTCCCACCATCTCCAACATAATAAAAAATGTCTCTGAGACCAGATTTTTACTCCTGCAAGAATACAACCTTTGACGAATCAGTTAGGATAAATTACTTATAATAAAGATGAAGGAAGTCACCCAGTCCTGAATCCTTTTAAGTCCTTGGAAATAGGTGAATGCACCTCTTTCAGTTTTAGTCTAAAAAGAACTATGAGTTTCTTACATAGCCCTGACTGATATGAGGATTCCTTACACAAGACTGAAATATTCTTCATTAGAGTCTCTCTGATTATCTGATTAGTCTAACTGTTCCAATTCTTACTTTAAAACCAGAGGCTTTTCAGGTTGTAGCACCTACATTTTGCAATAGCCTTCATCAACCTGTCAGGTCAGCTCAATAAAAATTACATTTAAATTTGCACGACTGAACAATCTGCAATTTGCAGTGTTAATCCTGGTGATTAGCAGTCAGTTAATAAATAAATCTAATCCGCAGGTTCATACATATCACTACTGGATGAGTTAATTTTTCATGTACTGCAGCCTGGCATTGCTTCTAGTGACGGCATATAGATATTTGCTCAATAATAAGAAAATAATTACATCCATGGCCTGCAAGCACTGCAAACTCATCCTTTTTCGCTTTCAACTCTGCAATGGGTTCATGATGCAGATGTGAAGTTTGTATATGGACACTTTCTGTATTTTACAGGGTTAGAATAAAATGTTAATATGTGGCACTATCAGAGATGGAAAAAGATGCAAGAAAGACAGGACAAGAAAGGAAGGATGATTATTTTCAAAGGTGAGCACTGCTTAGAAAATGAAATTTACATGCTTGGAATTTTAAAGTGTATATATAATGTTGTAATTAACTTTAAAAATTTTTGAGTCAGATATTTATAAATAGATGATGTGTTGCTGAATTACAATTTCTTGCACAATGAACTGAAGTACACTAATTCTGTGTTATACAAAGACTGGATGAAAATATCAGGAAATTTAGGACAGGCTAAACTGGTTAGTTTGGAGTAATGTGTTAAAGTTTACAGTGCTGGACTGTTTACATCTAGGTAGCTGACACGAATGTATATTCAAAGTGACGATGCCGATTAGATTCACTGAATTGTACCTTTCTTATTGGAAAGGTCTAGGTGTTGGAAATTAGTTATAAAGCTTGTGTAACAGTTACTAATATCATGCAGAATTCGGTTGGCTAAAAAGGGCAGAAAGACCAAAACAAATTATTCTGACTTATTTAAAGTAATTTAGTTTCCCATGCTGCACCACTACGCCCAATCTTATTGTTCCCCACCTGCCAAATCCCACTTTAGCCACCTGCAAATCATGATCCTGAAAAGAGGCTCTTGAAAAAAGTCCCGCGCTTCCAAATTCTAGTAAACATTTCAAAACATCATCTCTGTAACACAGTTGTACCACCATCTTTACTTAATGCTTTACTATTATTCTACTGCAAATACATCATATATAAACGTTGCAAGGTTCTTTGCTATTAAATCGATCCTTTCACTCACCGTTTGTCCCAGTGGAGTCACACAGCAGAGCTTCTTCTTCAGGTGTTCAGGTAGAAAACAAAAAAGTTTTCCTAACAGGGGATAGAGTGTTCCTGGCTTCACATCTTCTTCCTTTGTTGGGCCTAAGAAACATAATTAAGAATTTCTAATAAAAATTTTATAAAGAAAAGTTATGGACAATAAAGATATGCATAAGAACTCACCTACCTGTGAGAAAGCTGACAATCAGGCCTATTAAAACGACCGTAGTGCAGTTAAAGCCACTGTACCACATGTAGGACAGGGAGTAAAATCTCTTGAGTCCAGAGGGTTGGCTGAAGAACAAAGAGATGCTTAAGGAGATGATCAATGAGGAGAGGTCACAGTGTGCAGCCGGAGTGATCCGTACCTCAGAGTGGTATTGTTGAACGCTGTCTGAATAGCAATAGTCGCATTGGCGCCGCATTCGAGTGGTAGTGGTCTTGTGCTACGAGTGAGGATGCTTCCAATGCCGAGCCAGAAAGCCACAACCAGTCCTGCACACAGACCTACCAGAGCTCCCTGGAAACAATTACCAAAATAAGTTAATAAATAAATAAACAGCATTATTGTGAATTTACGTTAGAAGTCAACTTACGATGGAGTTGGCCCACGGGAAGAACATCCCGAGACAAAACAGACCAAGAATAGGACCACCAACCATGCCGAAGATTTTCAAAGCCACCTAACGTTAAATATGATAAACAATCGGTCCAAACATAGAAGTATGTTGATTATAAAGTTATAACCGGTGCGAACTTACCTGTAAAACCGAATCACCCATGAGGTGAGTGAGATATGCCATGGCCAGGCAGAGCAGTCCATAGGACATAGCTTATTAAGGAGACAAGTATAAACTTTAGGGTCAAAGCATCATTTTCAATTCACTGCTTTAATTCACAAATTGCAACATTTAAAGCTTCAGAGAGCAGACCTAAAACTTTGGACAGCAGGGTTGCTCTCGCCTCAGTCATGGCAGGATATTGCGGTTTGATGAGGTCTTCCATTGTTACAGTAGCTAATGAGTTGAAGGCCGACGATATGGTGCTAAACAAGAAAAGGGAAAAAGGGGCGTGTAACTTTAAAATGCAAATTAAAGGCATGTTTCACCTCTTGGATTCTAGTTACCAAATCATTACAGCAATAAGAGCTGATGTAAAAGATAAACAACCGCAGTTACCACCTTGTATTATAGGTCTGTACCAAGTCTTATCTTTGAGTCCAGGTGAACTTTGGTAACAAATTTGAGGAAATTCTCTTATTAATTATCTTCAAGAGATAAAGAGAATGGAACAGTGTTTCAACTCCACAACAGAGCTATAAAGCAAGCTCCACATAAACCGTCAGGTTCTCTTTATGTTTACTCGCTTGAGAAAACCTACAATTCCTATCAGAGATAGACACAAATATGTGACATCTGCGCGTTAGAGCTCTGAAACTTTCAAACTTGCATTTAAAAGATCAAAATTATGCAGTGTGTTCAGTTCTGAGTCAGTAAAATGGACACCAGGAGAGTTTGTCACAAGATCAAAGTAAAAGTCACTAAAAGTCACATCTGTAGATAAAATGACCTACAAATGAAACACAAACATTTACATATTTTCTGTATCACCAACTTCATAAATGTAAATTCCAGTGGCAATGAGACTAGCAGCTGTAAAATTATAGCAACGGTTTGTGCTGCTGTAACTTTATAGCTGGGCTTAAACTGGTGGCGTTACTAAGCTACATCTCTACAGGTAAAACTGGTTCCTTAAGCAGTGAATCTATACAACACTTAAAGATTCTGTAAATAATAGAAATAGTGAAAATGAGTCACTTCCAATTGTGAACATAACCTGTTCCAGCCCAGGTTAGCTGTTCAGCAGAAGTTGCTATGGTGATCTAACCTGAAAAGAGGGCCACCTTTATGGTATTCTTCATGACAAATAGCCTACAAATGCAGCAGGTTATTCACACTGTAATGTATGACTTTAGACTCAGCATAGCACACTAATCCATTAATCTTGGTTCGTAGTACACCCCCCAGGTTCACTCTGTGTGTGTAGGAGCAGTACCTGTGCCCCACTGACAGTGAAACTGCATCACAAAGATCAGCACAGCCACAAATTACAGCAAAAAAAAAAAATATATATATATATATATATTTTTTTTTGTCTCTTCACTTTTAATGAGAGTGAAAAACCTGTTTTCCTTTTGGAAATGTGAGTTAAAATGTTTCCTATTTTAACAAAGATGCATGTAAACATCATGCAATGTTGGGGTCATGGACAATTATTGAAAATGTGTCCATACGTGACGATGAGTAGATAACGCAGGTATCATGACAAGCCTAAAGCTGAGGGATGAAATACTGTGGAAAGAGGATTGGTAGTAAAAAGTATTCTGTCTCTGCAGAAACTGTGGAAAGTCCCGTACCTGAGGGCTGCACTGAATAAACAAGCAATGAAGAGTCCAGGCAGCCCAGGCAGACCGTGCAGCATATCCATCACAAAATATATCACCATCTGTGGGAAACAAACTATAAACATATCTTCCTGGTACCTTCAGTTTGATTTGCATAAATGTATAATTTGCCAGGAACAAAACACATATTGTATCATCTCTGATGTCCAAAACACACTAGAGAGACATAAGTCGAATGTAATGAAAGGTATCACTATAAAATATGCAAATACCAATGCTGGTTTTTTTTGTGCTCTCAGGGGTACTTTGTTTAATTCGGCATGAATATTTTTGATCATCCTTCATATTTCACTTCAGATTTTGTTTACTCCAGAGAAGAGTATGACAGTTATGCAATATTCATCCTGGATGGATGGATGGATGGATGGATGGATGGATGGATGGATGGATGGATGGATGGATGGGAACACTAAAAACATTACACAGCACAGTGCAACTCACTGCATCCCGTGAAGAACTGGCCAGCTTGTCAGAGTGGTCCTCTCCACAGTAACGTGCAAACATGACCAGCCCCATCACACAACTTAGAGCCAGAGCCAGCTGCAGGGAGGGAAAAACCATGTAGCAAGACCTGCAGGAGGTTGGGAACATAATAAGGTGCTAACTTTGAAGTCAGCTTCTTGTCATTTTCTTTTTATTTCACTCATCCTTTTTGCAGATGTTTTTTTTCATGTTTTTTGGAGCAGCCTCCTTTAAACTTGCAGAGCAGAGTGGCTAACACATATAGCTAATCTAACAGCCACGGGATTTAATAAAGCACATGAATACATACAAGCTAGCTTGAAATAAAATATTGAGAGGCTCATCTACTGTCTCCTTCCATCTCTGTTGTGTCATGAATAACTGTAGAACATATTATCAGTATGAATTCACAAGAATCTTTGCTTTAATATCAAAGCCACTGCTTACCTGACAGCCTCTTTCTCTGTGCGTGAGCTGAGGTATCTTTGGACCTGAGCCTGGTTCACACCATACAGGGACAGCATGAGGAAGACCCCACCGACCCCAAGAGTCCAGAAGGTGTGTCTCTCTGTCGGATCTGGGTTTAGACTGTATCACAGGCGAGAGAAAGAGAGAGAGAGATGCGGTTTAAAGACTATATCTTATGAAATCAAATGCATGGACCGGAGCTCTTTCCAACAAGCCTCCATGTAGAGTAAACTTGCAACAGCAGGTAATGATTCCAAATATACTATTTGAAGAATACAGTCCTGGGTTAATTTAATAAAAAAAGCAATAGCTGACAAAACCTTTCTTAAAACTGCAGAAACAAAGATTTGCAAGTATTAAATATTGAAGAGAAACACATTCAAGCTAGATTTGATTTATTTTTTTCATCCCTCTACTAAATAAGTGGAGGTTTTAATGCCACCTGCAGTACTATAACCTGCATTTAACTTGTAGGTGAAGGATTGTTTTTCGTTTGTAAGACTGTCTGCAAACATTTTTTCAAATTTTCCGCATCCATGTAAATCCAACCGCTACTTTGCTGAACTAGCCTCAGGTGCCAACAGACACATTTTTACAGCTCCCATGGAGCCAGGTGATATTGGTTTCCATCTGCCAGTCATTGTTTAGAATGCAGATAAATTTTAATAACCAAATGCAAACCTAATTTCTCACCAGAAAAACCGCACTGTGGTTTTTAAATGTACGAGCTACAACAAAACAAAGCATTAGATTTCAGAGTGCTTTAATTCTGCAGCTGTTTGAAAGACTGTTAGAAAGAAGGAAGTTTCGTGTGGTTGCCGGTACGAAAAATAACGACAGCTTTATTGGAGTATGCGATGTATTTGACTATCATCTGGATATATATGCCGTGTATTTTATTTTTCCCCCCATCTTCATCTGCATGCAACTAATGTGTGCTCAGTGTTGTACACCCCAGAAAGCTTTCAGTATCAAATATCATGCCCCTTGCCTGCATATTTTACATATTCATATGAAAACTCTATAAAGAGTTGTTTCCATTAAGGCAAACTTCAAACGCACTCGAGACCAGAGATGCGGTTTCCCTCCCAGACTTTCCTCCAAACATCAGCCACTCCTCCAGTCTTCTGCACTCCCACCACAATGACAGCCAGCTGCCCTGCAAACATCACAACAGTCTGAAAGACGTCTGTCCAGATGACGGCCTTCAAACCACCCTGAGACAAAAAGGCACCGAAAGCATTAAAGGGCTACATATGTGAATCAAGAAGTATTCAACTGCTACTCAAAAATAAAGACCCTACTAAAAAATATTTATGGGTATTTTTTGCAGGTTTTTTGTTAATTCTTGCAAGTTATTTTTATAGAGTAGCAAAGGCAGTGTTGACAGAAGAGCAAGTCATTCCTATCAGGTTAAGCTCAATAAAATCACTCTCAATTTATTCAAAGCCCTTGTAGATGGCTGATTCAAACTGAGCCTGTGATGTAACTCACCAGTGTTGTGTACAATGTGCATACTAGTCCAGTGGCCAGCACTGTTCCCCATAGTTCAAACCCAGTGACTGCAAAAACAGAGACAGAGAGCAACCCACTGAACTACAAGAATTATTTAGTTAAGTTCAATGAGAAAGTAAAAAATTAATAAATAAATAAATAAATGACCTCTTCTTACCTGCATTTAGTGCAAAGGCAGGAGTATACACACAAACTCCCATATAGATAACCTGCAGTCGGGCAAAAAGAAAATGTCAGCTTCATAGAAAAACCTTTGAACTTTAAGGCCTTTATATTATTGAATGCACTAAAGCGGTCCACTAAATGTGCAAAGTGACATTAAGTTTATTATCCTTATAGCTGAGAGTAAAAAAAAGAATATTTACACCGCTTTATTATATCTGCTTAAAATAAAACTAGAGCTGGTACAACATGACATAGCTACTGGGTATCAGTCTTCCTCTTCTCCTGCCTGCTCCCTTTAAAGGTCGCCACAGTGGATCATCTGCCTCCATCTCACACCATCTCTAACATCCTCCTCTGTCACACCAACCCTGTGTATGTCCTCCGTCAGTACATCCATAATCTTTTCTGTGGTCTTCCTCCTTTCTTCCTGCCTGGCAGCTCCACCATCAACATCTTTTGTCCAGCATATATCGCTTCTCTGCACACGTCCAAACCATCTCAGCCTTATCTTAACTTTGTCTCCAAACTGCTCAATCTAACCTGTCCCTCTGATGTAGTTACTTCTAATCTTGCCAATTTTGGCCCCTCTCAGTGAAAATATTAACATCTTCAACTCTACCATCTCCAGCTCCATTAAACTTGTCCACCTTCTCTAACCCTGTCATTTACACTTATTCTGTCTTTATTTTTACCAGTTGTAAATTAAAAAAACAAAAAAACCCAAAACTGTAAGCCTAAACTTATTTTTTGGCACCATCCCTACAGAATCCGATTATTATAAAATGTTATGTTACATTTAAAAAAAATTCTTAATAGGTTACACAAGGGAGGTTATTTATATTTTACTCCTGTGAGAAAGACAGCAGTTATGTTATATTTGTAGCTGTGGTATTTGAATATCAAATATTGGGAAAAAACCTTGCATCAGCACATCCTGTGTTATTGCACTGCAGTGCTGCACTCACCATTTGAAAGATGAAGGTGAAAGTTCCACATATGCGTACTGCTTTGCTGAAGCGCAGCTCAAGATACTGTGAAACAAAGCAGCATAAGAAATCTAAAGATAAGCTTGCTTTAAATGAGTACTGGTGAAAAATGAAAATGCTTCGGCAAACCTGGTAAGCGCTTGAGACGCGCAGTCTGTAAAACACTGGAATGAAAATGTGAGCTGGAATGAAGAGGCCCAGGATGTAGGCGCAGCCGATGAACCAGTACTGCGTGCCGTGCGTGTAGATCTCTGCTGGTACGCCAATGATAGCCACGGCCGACTGGAACGAGGCAATGAGCGAGAGGGAAACGGGGAGGCAGCCCATGCTTCTGTCTGCCATTAAGAACTCTTGAGTCGTGCGCTGACGCCCACCAGACAGCGCGTAGTACAGCCCGATGCCCATAGAGGCAGCGAGTAAGACGGCAAATATCACATAGTCTATAACCGTGAAGAACTTCTGGTCGGACGGGTCCATCTTGATTGTCTCCTGGCTGCAGTTTGAGAAGATTGTGTGCTTCTTCACACACACGGTCAGAAAAATAGGAAACGTCCTTGTTCACACCCATCAGTCATAACAGTCCAAAAACCTTGAAGGAAACAAAAAAAGCTGAATAAATATGCATGTGGGCTGGCTGTTAAAGGTTGGTGCTTTGAATCCTGGGCAAGATACTAAACTCAAGTTGCTGTTTGATGCATCCATTCGAGTATAAATGTCAGACAGAAAGCATTTAAGCATTAAAAAGTGCTTGTATGAAAGGGTGTGAATGAGTGAGTGCTCAGATTAGAAAAGTGCTATTTAAGAACCTGTCTATTTATCAGTTGCATGTGAGGTGATCTGCTCAGATATCCAGAGTTATTATTTATATTATGTAATATTATTCTATTCAGCCCTTTTCTGCTTATAAAATTTAAAAAACAACAACTTTGCAAAAGTGGGAGAAGAAACACATCTGCACACAGCTGATTTCCTTGTGCTTTTCTTAGACATTTGTGCTCCTGCTCAGACAAACAGATTCAGCACTGAGTCTGCTGTCACTAAACTGTAATGCTTGCATCAAAGCACCACTGCTACATGAGAATATCACCAATCTGTGCAATGTAAAGCAGACAAACTGAAGTCACGTAACCTCTCACTATGTCAACTTTTCCCTGCTTGTGCTGATCCAAAAATAATGTCAGCTGTTTTGGAAAGGGGGAGGTTCCTTGCTCCTGAGCTACAGCAGGAACCAGTCACTGTGAGTTTTCAAGGTCAATGACATCAAACGTTTAAACAAGCGCTTCCAGCTGTGGCGAAGAGGGGTTAAAAGGTCATTTTAAAACGTGTTTTCCTATCAGAATATACAGCCAATAAAAATATTTCAGTGGAATGTACTATAAATTCACACAGGTTGCAGTATTTTTAAATTGACTGCTTAACTAAATCAAGCAAAATTACCTAGAAGATTGTTTTCAGAACATTTGGGGGTTTTTTGCATTACAAATAGGTGTCACCCAAGGTGGCATCCTCATGTATCTTGTTTTGATTTCCTTCCACATTAAAACAGACTGAAGGTTGAAATCCTTTCATCTGGCCGGGAGCCAGATTAGGTATTAATATACTGTAAAAATCTCTGCTGATCAATTAATTGATCATTTTGCCTCAAACCCCACAAAGGAGGTGCACAAAATACAAGGTCACAAAAGCCTCTCTGTACTATAGCAAAGCATGATGCAGGATTTTAAAAGTGACTTTAATTTGACTTGGAGACACTGTTGCTGTAGCTTTGATATTTTAGTTATAAATAACTGTCCCGTGACCGTCTGTAACGTTATCTGCATAACTTGACTGGGTATGAAGGAAATGGCCCTAATCAAGACAGCATGGTGTGTGAGAGGAAACAGTGTGCTAGCGGAGACAGAACAGGTACAACAGCACTGAGCAGGGTTACCTTTACAGGGCAGCACTGTGGGTATCCGGGTGAGTGTAACCGTCACCATGCCTTTCACTGAGACGTTCAAGAGCACTGCGTTAGTTAAAGCTTGATGAGGAAGGTATTTCCATGAATGAAATCACGACTTTATGAAAATCAAGGGTTGTATTTTCAAATAAACGTGTGTCTTGTGTGTTTAAACTTATGCTATGTTGAAAAAAGGACTTGAACACACTTACCATGCTAATCTGTCGCTCCATTGCTCCATGTGATCGCAAACTGTTTTTAATTTTCTTCCGGGGTTGGAGAAGTGGGCGGTGTGGTGACGCAACAGCCGCCAAAATCAAAAACTTGCAAGAGGAGTGGATGTTTACATCGGATCAAGTACGTACAGAAAAATAAAGAAAAAGACTCGGGAAACATGGAGGGAGCACCTGCGAAAGGTACCTCGGAGCGAGAGCTTTTAACTAGCTTAGCGACACCGCAAGCTAGCTTATAAAGAACATTGTTGTGATGCAAAGTTCGTTAGCCTGCTAATGCTATGAGCTAATGTCTATTAGCCCAACAGTAAAACATTCGTTTGTGTCCTTTAGAAGTTAGTAAATGTGTGCTTTATCCTCAGGTGTTTTGAGTCACCTGAGTCTGCTGGAAGTTAAAGCCAGGAGTCGTAAAACTCAGCTTCAGCAGCAGAGTCGTGTGATGGAGCTGAAGGCTAAAGTTGAAGCACTGAAGACCCAGAGAGAGCAGCTGAAGGCACAGATACAGACGCACCAGGTTTGGGGGCTCATGGTGGTAGAAGCTAACTTAGCGGACAAATATTTACGCAAAACACGTGATAAATTTATAAAATTATAAGCCGTATTTATATTCATAAAATATACAGTTTATAGTAGGATTACATTGAAATCTTTATCAAGATATAGTAGTTTATGTTAGTGTTTTACTTATATACTACAGTAGAGTACTCATCCTTACCTGACCATTTTCAGAAGAATATTGTATTTCTTTGTTAAGCCATTTAACACCGATCTATAAATCATTCAAGCATAAAGAAGGTACACAACTCGAGAGATGAACCACTGTTTGACAGGCATATAATAGTATTTTTGATTGGGATTCAGAATGGTGTGAGAAAGCAGTGATAAACCAACTGATTTCATGTTAATATGATGCTCACATTTGAACTGGGTCTGAAACGTTACATCACTTTCACATGCTGGTTGCACTTCCCTGTTACAGGACCTCCAGAAACTGAGGTTGGCTATGGACAAACAGTGTGCAGATGAAGAAGAGGAGAACATGGAGGAAGAGTCGGAGAACTCAAAACTTTTGCGGCTCATGGCCAGACACACTCAGCTGAAAGATCTTCTACATGCTCATCACCTCATTGGTATCAGCCTAACTGCAGTATTATTTCCTCTGGTTCAGTGTCACCTGGAGATGTTTTCACTGACTTTTTCCAGTGTGTCTCATATTTCAGACCTTTATTGGTCTGTTTTAATCCTCTCTTTTTTCCTGCTCTGTTTTATTTGCTGATATCATCAGGTGGGTATGACATCATAAAGACTCGCAAGGGGAAAGGAGCGTGCGTATCTATCGCAACGGCCTATGAGGACGTCTTCTTAGACACCTTTAACCTGGAGATTGATCTGAAGCCAACTGTAAAGATTAGTCGCCACAACATCCCTCCCTTTATTCCCCTAAACAACCTTGCTGAGCAGAACAACATGCAGACAGACCTGAGGGTGTTTCTGGACACCCTCAGCAAACATCTCAACGCCTTTGCTGGTCGCAAGCAGCAGCTGAAGCTTGTTAAGGTGCCAGATTTCACTTTTTTAAATTATATTTCACCATATCCCTCAGTAGCTGATGTTGACTCCATCATGTCAGCGTTCTGGGAGGGCAAAGCCATCTGTTGCAGGACTCCATGTTTAGGTGGCTGAAGATTTTTATTTATTTATTTTTTTTAAACATATCTCTGGCTGGACGTTTGGGCTTGTTCTACTACAGAATTAATTTACACTTTGATTAAATTATGAATAAGAATATAACAATCAAAAGTACCCTAAACAGTTGCACAGTTCTTTTTATGAAACCTGTCGTTTTGTTGGTGAGCAGTAGAAACCGTGGAGTTTTGTTCCATTCGTAAATTTTGAAAGCCAAGAACCCATTAATGTTAAGCACAAACTATTTATGGCCTTTAAAGCACAAAACCGTTTTGTATTCATTGCTATTTGTTTTAAAACAATATCAAATTGACCCTGTTTTGCTTTTTGTTTATAGGAGAAACATAAGTCGGTTGAGGTGATGGAGAGTAATGTTTTATGTTCACTACTGGTGCTGTTATTCACTGTGCCGAGAGAAAAGACAGCTGTGCTCTGCACACTGGACTACACGGACCACACCAGATGTCTCCCCACACGAGTCCATCTGGAAAGTGAAGGTAGGAGTTTCACATGCATTTTTGTTTTAAATGCAAACTCAGTCCCATTCCCACAGGCGTATGATGCAACATGCTTTTACGAACATTTGTGGAAGTAATGGTCATTGTAAAGCGGTCACTGAATTGCAAAAAGGAAGCTTGTGAAATCCTAGATATTCAACCATCAGCTGCAAGTATATTAAAAGTGGAAGTGTTCAGGAGCCACAAGAGGTCAGCCACAAACGGTTCATGAAGTGACAGGACTGTTTCAGTGGCTGAGCAGACTTTTGCTGTAATGCGACCCGATACTTTTGTCCATTTAATAGATGTAGAAAGTCTGTTTACAAACATGTGATGTTGTTGTTAAAGACACCCATAAAACTTAAATTTGGTAATGTTGTTTAATGTTGATTTCCTTTTGTTTGTTGCAGACAAACAGCTTCCCGATTCTCCACAGTGGAAGAAAAACTGCACCTTACTTATGGAGACTCCTGTGCACAAAGCTTTAATAACCATGAAGAAAATGGGAAGCATTGCTTAATTTATTCACTAATATGTATTAAATGAGTTTTGCTAAAAGAGTAATGTACTTACTCATTTTTCATTTTTGTTTTTAAGGTATTAAATTGTAAGAAAGTGAAGTTTCCAAATGTTCAAGCAAAAAGTCTTAAAATTCAGGCAATAAAAGTCATATTTGTGATGCGATTGCTGTTTTTTTGTCCCTGTCTCTATATACATGGTCTGTAAATACTGTCTCTGATGTTGCTATTAACTTGTGTGTAACATCAACCTGCCAGAGGGTCTACAGATGGAAATTAGGCTATAATCTGGCATAGTTACATTTGTTAAAATGTTCAATAATATGTATTGTCCCTCTTTCTAATAAAGAAAGGAAAAACATCAATTTTATTTTATTTATTATTTTGCACACTGTTGCGCTGAGTACAGTCATACAGGTATGCTTGTTGCCATGGCAGTCTCAGCACATGTAATACAATAGCCCATTGTAAAGCGTGTCTAGTGCAAGCGGTTGTCGGTAAGTGCAGTAATTTTTCAGCAGCACATTCCTTAGAGATTCAGTTTCAGCATAATCAAGGAGTTTGTTTCACATCAAACAACTAATAAGAAATATTTTCGTTTTTAAGATATTGAGTTGTGTAAAAGTAAAAGTGCCCAAACTTTCAAATTCCTCTACGAAAGTTTCGTAACAACCTCCACGTCTTTTTTATCTTTCAGCTTCTCTATAAATTCCATCACCTTCTTGTGTAACATTTCTCTCTGAAGCAGTCTCAGCCTTTCCATTTCCTCTTGGGCTTTCTGCTGTTGCCTGGCCAGCTCTTTTTCTGATATTGAGTCAATCGTTGCAATCTGTTTCATCTGCATAAGTGACAAGTTGCTCTGGACTTTCCCTTTGTGTCTCACAGAACTTGTAGATTTAGTCGATGGTGGTGGTGCTGATATGGATCGACCCTGTTCCACGAGTTTAGATCCTTCATAGCTGGATTTGCTAGGATGCAATCGTCCAGCAGATGTGTATATCGCCCTGGAGAAGTTTGCGTCTGCATTTCTTTCATACTCGGCGATTTCTTTCATAGCGATGCTGACTGTAGCTTTTGGTTCACAGACTTGTACCATCACCATCCGTCTTGCTTCATTTATCAGTTTGTCCCTTCGCTGTTGAAGCATTTTCTGGGTGTATCGGTGCTGTTTATCCAACATGATTAGCTTACGTTGCAGATCTCGGTCCTCCTTTTGGTTTAGCACTCTTAACACTCTTTGTAGTTCAGGTCTTCTGTAGATGTGATCCATTATGTCCAAGAACTAGGGGGAGGAAAGCATTTTCTGAGCTTTTTTGTTTTTTAGATTAAAACCAAAAATATCAGTTTTATTACCTGATTTTTGTGCACTACTCTGAGCGCAGTCATACAGGTGTGTTTGGTCTCATGGCAGTCTCACCATCTGTAATATAATAGCCTATTGTAAAGCATGTCTAATGGAGGTTTTGTTAGTGATTTGCAAGTGTGCAGTAATTGTTCATCAGCGCATTCCTTAGAGATTCAGTTTCAGCACAGTAGCAGGGCTTCTTGCACGTTACACTGTGACTGTGAAAAATACTTCGATTTTGTGCAGTTTTCGCCCTCCTGCTTCATATAATTCACTATTTGGGGTTATGATAAAAAAATGAATTGTAAATGTACATTTTGGGAGAAAATTACATTATGAGTAACCATTTGTTTTACTGTAAATGCTGTGCAAATAAATACAATCAGAGACTGTTATTCGAATATCCTAAACTGTTGCTTTTATATAAATATTGGTAATTAAAGATGTGGTGGTTTTAGAAACACTGAGCTCATGAATCCTCGCTATTCTGACTGAGAAAGATTTGCTTTGACACAAGTCTTCAGTTGTTACTTTAGCCATTGGATCTGCAAACGTGTCATCCTTCTCCAACCTTCTTTCTCATCTCCTCTTTCACTATATCTGTGAATCTTACCTGGTCTTCCTCTGACCCTCCTGCCTGGCAGCTCAATGTTATCTTCGGCCGGATGTATCCACTAACCCCCCTGCCAGTTTTTCATTTGGCAAAGATTTAATGCTGAATTCGCTTCCCGGTGAAACCCTCACTATTTAACTGGGCTTGGGACTGACACTAGGAGTACTCTGGGTTGAGCCATAAAATAAATATATATTGGTCATGATCTCCACTAGCTTTCTATATTTATTGATTGGTTTTTCCTAATATTTTGATCATCTATTAACTCCTTCAGCCATTTTAAGCAAAAACATTTTTTTTTACCATTACTTTAAGTTTTTTATCATCTTATTTCACAGTAAACTCTGAGTCTTTAGAGGGTTTTTTTTTTCCTTTGATTGATTGATTTGGGATTTGTCATCTTCTTGTGGGTGTTTTCAATCTACTTTTTAGTAGACTCATTTATATCATCAGATCCACATTAACATGAACAAACTATGCTTACGAGAAAATCGCTGTGCTACAGCAGGCAGAAAACGAAAAAGTTGAATAAATATTACAAAAACATGACTCTAGATTTCTCAGTTTACTTTTATTTGTCTCTGTTCCCCATAAAATATTAACTGCATATATTAAGTTATTATATAAATGAAAACAATACGAAGTGTCCTGATCATATTTACAAAAAATGGTGTAAAATTGCAGTATACCTTTAACAAGCAAAGCCAGCCCCTCTGGAGTTTGGCCCTCCTGCGCCAAAACTGAAAACCAGGCTTGAAGATGGCACAACGAAACTTCCCAAAATGTCACACACTTACTCCAAAGTTGATCAGCTGTTGACATCGCTGCTTGGTAAGTTTATTCTCTGCAGTGATTTGGCTTCATTTACATTTGCAGGAGAGCTGTTCGCTCGTTTTCAGCTGCTTATCTTCACTGCTGCTTCGCTGGTTTTAGTCGCTCAGGTCAAACAGCGTAATCAATCAGGTTTGTCGATTTACATTATTTAATGAAACAGATAATGATTCGGACATAATGTAAAATACAGCCGTCTAAAGCGCGAGAGAATGTTGCGCATGCGCATTACGGAAAGGGGAGATTACAGTATAATGTAAAAGCAGAAAAACGCATACGTTTACAATAAGGGGTTTCTCTTTTCCGCTTTTTCAAGGTCTCTTCTCCATGTTTTTTCCCTTTGTTCTGCTAAATAGTTCTGATATGTCTTCAACCCCTTGAGTTCCTGGCTTGTATTCAGCATTTTCAAACTTTGCGGTTTAAACGGTTTTGGTCCCATGTAATTGTTTAGAGATGTAAAACTGTGTTAACCGGAGAGTCAAACTGTTTCTTCTACTTCAGGTGCTGACTTTGGCATAAATAACTGCAGATGAGTTGGTTGTTACCAAATACGAACAGTTAATTTTGATCTCACAGAGGTTTATGCTTGGATATTATTTAAAACAATTAACGGCAACAATCCATAGCCAGATAACCTAAACCACTAAACACTGAGGCATTTTTTAGTACATTTGGACACACTGGGTGGAGAAGATCACTGAGATAATCAATCCGCAAAATATATTATATGCAAATAAACCAAGTTGGAGGCTTTATTTAGTATAAACCACAACATTAATTTACTCTTAAGGTTTTACACCAGACAGGAGCTGAAGCACATTGCTGTTTTAAATATGGAACACCTAAACAAATCTATGGAAATGCAGATATCAACAAATAACACTCATTTTAAAAAAATTCTGCTTTGTTGTTATTATTAGAAATTATGACATACTTTATGTTCTGTAACAGCTTGTGCTTTAACAGCTTAATTTCCTCTTTTGTTTTCCACTCAAATAGCAATTGCCCCTGCAGAGGTTATCTAATGCATCCAATCCTGCAACCTGGAAGATTTTTACTCAGAAATACGTGCCACACGGTGAGTGTTTAAGCACTAAATTAAAGCCTACATAAAGTTGCTTCAGTTTTAGATGCTGCAGTTTTTCTTGTTGCACTACTTGCAGGTCAGAAAGAAAAATGTAGGCCTACTCTACTTTTGTTTTCAAGGTGTGGTCCAAGCATTACGTTAGTGTTGCCAAGATGATGCGGGCAGTGTGTGTTGATGTACCCGGAGGACCGGAGAATTTGCTGCTGCAGTCTGTTCCCAGACCTAATCCCAAAGCAGGAGAAGTCCTGATTAAAGTTCATGCAGCTGCCCTCAACAGAGCAGACCTGTTACAGGTAGATTATTATTGTAGCCAAAAGAGCACAACACAGTGCTATTATCTCCCGTAAATCTCATAGCCTGCTTTCAGTCTTCTGTGACTCACTGTATTCTGAATTATATCTAAATTTGCATAACACAGGCCTAAAAATAATTATCTTGTGTTTTCCACAGAGACGAGGCCTGTACCCTCCTCCTGCTGGTGAGAGTGACATCATAGGCCTGGAGGTAGCTGGTACTATCCACACCCTGGGTCCAGGGGTGAAAAAGCAATGGAAACCAGATGACCGCGTCATGGCTTTGCTCTGTGGAGGAGGATATGCAGAATATGTTTCTGTGCCCGAGGAGCTTCTCATGCCCGTTCCCTCTAATCTCACAATGTGTCAGGCTGCTGCAATCCCAGAGGCCTGGCTCACTGCTTTCCAACTGCTGGATTTTGTTGGTATAACAAACATTTCTGTGTCTCTTTGTTTTTCTTCATATTCATATGTTTTTTGGATAAAGATTAGACAACTGAGTTATTAAATGAGTCACATTTATTTCTATTTGACTTTTTTTTAATTAACAAGAGGCCAACGTCAGATTTGGTTCAAATTCTATACTTGCCATCGGTCTTCTCTGCTCCAGCTCAGGTGAAAGAGGGTGAGGTGGTGCTGGTTCACGCTGGAGGCAGCGGAGTCGGAACAGCGGCCGTTCAGCTTGTTCGTCTGTTTCGGGGTGTGCCGGTTGTCACTGCCGGGAGCCCAGAAAAATTGAAGCTGGCTGAGAAACTGGGCGCTGTAGTTGGATTCAACTACAAAGAGGAGAGCTTTGCACAGGGAGTGCATGACTTCACTGGAGGTGAATTATGGAAATCAACATGCATTTAATTTTGCTGCAGGCGACGGTGCAGTGTCTCTGCTGATAATTCCTAATGATAGCATTGTTTTTGCATACTTCAGATTGCTATCAAATGTTTTGTCTTTGTTTCACAGGCATTATATTAGAGTTAAATGTTTCCAACCACTGTAGCAATCAGAGCTTAATTCTACATAGCTCTTCTGTAGCTTTCTAATAAATGCACATCAAAGAGCTTTGGTAACCAACTCCAAAAAAAATCCTCCGTCAATACTTAAGAACCAAGTCAAAACACATGATTTCATTTTCAAGGATAAAAGAAAATTTAGTTGTTTTGTCATTTTAGTTAAAAAAAATTTTTTATTCAGTCTGTCACAGTGTATTTGTTTAGAACAGGGGTCAAGCATAAGACCGGGGGGGAGAATCGACCTGCCAAAGAGTCCAATCAGGCCCACTGGAAAATGCAAAGGAGGGCATAAAGATTGGAGTTCTCGGTGTATTTTCATTACATTTACAACTTTTCCTACTGATACAAACCTCCCACATGGTCATTCATACTGCACTAATGTAGTAAAGTAGCATTAAAAACAGCGGAAGGATAGAATAGTTCCTGTATTTTCACTCTCCACTGCAGAAATGTAGTCTTCATTGGTCTTGTTTAGCCTAGCTAACCTACACCACAAAACACTGAAAGAATTTTGAATATATTTGAATACAATGGGTGGAAAAGGTCACCGAAATAATAAATCTGCATAAGAGGATATGATATGCAAATAAACTGAGTTAAAGGCTTTATTCAGTATAGACCACAGCATTAGTTTACTCCTAAACTTTCACACTAAACATGGAGTCAAAGTGGGCTGTGGTGGGCCATGATGTAAAATAAGATTAGCATCTCTGGTTTGGAGCTATTTTGAATCAAGAACGTGATTGTATTGGAGAAGGGCAGTTACCTGTAATTGTAAAATCTCTAATTTCACAGGCAAGGGAGCAAATGTGATCCTTGATTGCATTGGTGGGCGCAACTGGGAGTCAAATGTGAGCTCTTTGGCCATCGATGGCAGGTGGGTGCTGTACGGCACCATGGGAGGGAGGGCGGTAGAGGGAGATCTGCTGGGCAAACTGCTGTCCAAGCGAGGCCACTTGCTCACTAGTCTCCTCCGCTCTCGCAGCCTGCAGGTAAGAATTGAAAACAGAAGTGACACAACAGCTGTGTTTCTTCATCTCTGCGCTGACTCATGTCAGTGTCGCTTTCCTCTCCTGGGTCTGGTTTGCCAAAATGAGGCAACTTGCTTGGGTTACTTTTCAGACATCTCTTGTAATATATATGTTTGCAACTGGACCTGATATGTTCTTTGCATTTTCCTTTCACAGTACAAAGCTGACCTGGTGAAAGCTTTTACAGGCAGGGTGTTGCCATATTTCTCAGACCAGCCTGCCACCCTGAGGCCAGTGATTGACAGCACATTTAGCCTGGATGACATTGCAGAGGCTCATAAGCACATGGAAGCTAACAGAAACATGGGGAAGATTGTCATCAATGTGATTCCACAGATTGAGCAAACACAGTGATGAATTCATACTGTAATAGAAACGCACTGGCTTTGAAATTTCCCAAAATACTGAAACCCACTGTCATTGTAAAACTTTTCTTTTGTTAGGAATATTCATAATTTACTAATAAAATAGACCAAATCACTGTTTTTCATTTTCTGTTCTAGTATTGTTACGATTACGGCCCGGGTTACTGTTCTTTTTCTATCCTCTATTCATTGAGGTGAGTTTTCTCCTGTGGTGGTATTACTCACAATTTTCTACTAGCAGCATAGAAATGACAGAAATGTGCATTTCAATGCATGATCAATGTTTACAATAGTTAACTAAAAAGCTAATTTGGAAAAAAAGGAAAACTAACTCACAAAACTAGAAATACATAGATAGTAAATGTTATAAGTTTTAATCTTTGGCAGTCTAGATACTTTTTTTTTTTTTATCACAGCCTGCCTGATTAAATTTTGTTGCATTTGCTTATTGAGACTTGGGATGTCTGTCTACATGATTGTGAGTCAGCTGACATTTGTACTGTAACAATACCTGTTTTGATTTTCCTAAATTTCGCCCCTGATAATAATCCTCAGAGGTCACCACAGCAGATCATCTCCCTTCATCTCACCCTATCTAGTCTCATCTGCCACACCAACCCTCTGCACATCCTCCCACAGTACATCCACGTACCTCCTCTGTGGTCTTCCACTTTTTCTCCTTTTTAATCCTCGTCTCTCCAGGGCATATCGCCACCTTTCTTAACTCTTCTTCATCTGCTCCCTACTTTCACTAAAGATCACAATGTTGTTTGCAAACATTATATACTCCATGAAGATTCCTGGCTGACCTCATCAGATCACAGATCCAAACTAGAAGGGGTGAGATGTTTCTTGATGCAATCCCACGCCCACTTTCAACACATCTATCACTACTACCTCAGTGTTATCATACATTCCGTGCACCACCCTCACACACTTCTCTACCTCGCTATAATTATAAGAATAAAACGTCATTTGAAACTGTATTGGAAAGAAAAAAATCGAATAAATAATAAATAAATAAATAAAAATAAATAGAAAATAGCAAACTATAATAACTGTCAAGGTCTTCAAATTTTATGTGAGCTGAATCTTATATTAATAAATTTAAAAAAAAATCGGAAAGGATTTAGAGACGACTCTAGACGATGCTGATTGGTTGTGTACTTGTTTAAATAAAGTTCTTTAAATTGAAAAAAAAAATGTTCTCAAACTTCCGGCTTCTGTGTTGCGGCTCCTTTCACAACTTCCCTCCAGGTCTCGAGGAGGCAAAGTTAACATAAAAAGGTCGTGTAACTGAGTTATTTTAATGAATAAATATTAAATTAGTCAACGGACAACATTCGGACTCTATGATTCGACGGAAAACGGAGAATATCTTTATTTATCTGGTAAGTAAGAGTGAGGATGTTCCTCAAGCCGCCCTGCTAAACGTATCTGCGTCAGCTAGCAGTCTGAACCCGCAGGTGTTCACGTGAAATAAAGCAAAACAAGTTGAATGTAAGAGCTAAACTAATGTTTTTATGAGTGAGCTGTAGTTATGCAGCCAGTCGTGTTAAAAGCTGATTCATGTGAATGAATTGTTGACTTATAATCGGTCAAACATCTCTCATGAATATCAAGCTATTTTGAACCAGAAGTAACATTTCTGTCACAAGTTAGAAGCTGCAGTCAGTGTTTGGGTAAAGTGCCGCCTATGTCCTTTATTTATCAAGGTAACAAGTTTTATTGACGTTACAAATGTCAAATTCAAGACAAATTTAGCCAGTAGGGTAGCAGAATTTGCCACAACTATAACATAACAGCTCTACAACATGTAAGTTAAGGAGTGCTGAAATGCATTTGTTGTTCTTGAAAGAGACTGGCTGACCTTTTTAAGTGAAAAGGTAAATGTGAAGGAGTATGATGTCCTTTTAAGGAAAACAAACATCCCCAGCAAATAGGCCTATTTAGGTTTATTAGCAATAAACAAGAGTTGTAAACCAGTGTAATTACACGTGTTAAAGCACTTTACCTAACTGCTGGTATGAGGAACTTTTGTATTTAAACTTGATCCTACTTTCTGTTTTGAGCTTTATTTGGATATATGACTGTATGTGGGATTTGCATGTAGGATTATCCCAGAGAACCCCAGCTTTCACCCACAGTCCAAAGACGTGCAGGTTAGGCTAAATTAGGTTAATTGTACAAATGTGTGCAAGTAATGCGCCTACTTCAATGCAGATTAATGATATACTGAATGATGTCCTTGGTGAGCGTGCTGTCCATCAGAACTTCCAGATATGTTCTTTTTTCCCCTCAAACTTCTTTATTTCAACTAAACTTTTGAGCCCTTGAAGTTACTTTCCTGATCTGTCTGCATTGTGCCTGTCAGAAAAGGGTGGAATTGTTTACATTTTTTATGTCACAGAAAACACATCCTGAAACATGGAGGATCCAAACAGACCACAGAGGAAAATGTCAACAGCAGGAGAGAGTTTGTACAAGTTGCTGGGAGTGGAGAAGGGAGCGTCTCCTGACGAATTGAAAAGAGCCTACAGGTGTGACTATCTCTTTCAGTTCTGAGCTACAAGAACTAATAAATAAAATGTTACTCTCGCTTGTTAATTGTGCTGTTCTTACAATAGCACAATTAACTAGTGAGAGTAACATCATTGTTTCAGAGATTTATGGCGACATTAGTGAAATCTTAGGCTACATCCACACTAGACCGGATAGATTTGAAAACTGCATTTTCGTTTGAAAACGCTCCGTGTCTCTTCTAGCATATTTAGTAATTTTCACAGAGTTGTGCATCCACATTGAAACGGCCGAAAACGCTTACGTTCCAGTACTGTGCATGCGTGAAACGCAAGAAGATTTGACCTGCCTCATTTCTTTCTGCCGCTTTGAAACGTCGCAGCAAAATTTCAAAGAAAAGCACCGACTTTTTTAAACCCTCACTTGTTTGTATATGTTTTAATTTCTCTTTTGACCAGGAAAATGGCATTAAGGTATCACCCTGATAAGAACCCAGACAACCCCGAAGCAGCTGAGAAGTTCAAGGAGATCAATAATGCCCACTCCATCCTCACTGATCCGGACAAGCGTGGTATCTACGACCAATATGGATCCATGGGCCTCTCGGTGGCCGAGCAGTTTGGGGAGGAGGGAGTCAAATATTACTTTCTCATGTCCAAGTGCTGGTTCAAGGTGAGAGGCAAGGGGATGTAGTTTTAAAGGTGAAAACAGAACATGAAGTTGTTTGTTCTGGTAGTAGGTGAATTATGCAGAAATGTAAACGCCAAAATGTGACCAGAGCATGCCGCAAAGTGTCCAAAAACTCTCCTAATACTCACATTGGTTTTCTTTTAGACCCTGTTTGTGTGCTGCACTATTTTCACCTGCTGCTGCTGTTGCCTCTGCTGCTGTTGCTGCTGCGGAAAGTGCAAACCACAAGATGAAGAGGACAATTTCGTCTACATGGACCCTGAGGACCTGGAGGCTCAGATTAGAGAACAAGATGCAGGTGAGGAACTGTTTTATATTCACTTAAGAATGTATACAGTTGAGCAAGGCAGCAGCTTGCATAGAAACAAAGAGCTGGAGTTGGAAACCCAAATGGTGTAGTGTCCAGTTTCTGATTATCAGCATTTTTAAGATGAAAATGTTTCCTCTAGAAATCTAGGATTAATGATATGGAAATATTAGTTTTCACAGCTTAATCTGCCTTTTTTTCACAGATATAGTTAATTATGTGTTTTCCTGTGGAAAGTCTGCACAGGAAGGCGTTAACTGGATTCTCTTAGATACAGTCGACAGCCTCTTGAAGTGTTTACTGCCCAGTTTTGCTGTACTGATAACACGGGTGTTACTTTATGCTGAGCAGTTGTAACCCTGCCAGTAATCTTGATCTTAACTGTGCATGTGCAGTAAATCCAGCAGGAAGTTAACTTTGCCAAGAAGGGGGGTACATCTTCATTCAGTACAGGGCATGTTTAGAAAATGATAGTCTATAAAAATGACGTAAACATCTCAGATGAACAACAGCTGATAACATATTACACTGCCATTGTTTCTTTAATATACACTAAGCTAAAATGCAGAAGCAGTGTGTGGGTAAACGAAGTACACCCCATGACTCAGTAGCTTGAAGAACCACGGATGGATGGATGACTTCATCAGTGTTTCACAGGGATGCAGGGACTTTGGCCCACTCTTCTTTATAACGTTGCTTTGGTTCATTGAAGTGGAGGCATTTGTTTATGCACAGCTCTCTTAAGGTCCCACCGCAGCATTTTAATCGTGACGTTGGGTGTCCCATTGCAACTCGTTGATTTGTTTCTTTTCAGTGGGGTGTGTGGGGGTATTTACCAAAGCACAGCTCTGAGCATGTTAACTGGGTTGTGGTCTGAACTTTTACTGGGCCTCTGCAGCACTTTTTCTCTTTTTTTTCTTTTCTTTTTTTTAGCTGGTGTGTATTTGCTGCTGTGCTTGCGATCATTGTCCAATTTCATTACCTAATTTGGGCCAAACTTTTAGCTGTCAGACACATGGCCTAACAGTTGACTCTAGAATAATTTGCTATACAAAGGAGTTCATGTTTGACTCAATGGCTGCAAAACGAGCTTAGATCATCACCCCTTCAAGGTTTTGTTCAGATGCAACTTTCCAAACCTAAACCATACTGTCACTTTTAATATTTTTTTCTTTATTAAACAAGCCATACTTGTTTGGTCTGTTTTTAATTGTTTTCTCTCGAACTTTAACATTTAACATGACAACTGTAGCCTGAAGAATCTCAGATACAGCTCTTGGAGTTTTTTTTTCGTTTTTCTGATCTCTGGGTAAGTTTGCTAGGAAGATTGGCAGCTGTCTTGAATGCTTTCCACTTGTGAATAATCTTTCTCATTGCAGAATGATGGACTTTACATTTTTATCGAAATAGCCTTAATATCCCCCCCACCCCCATCTAATTTTAAGACGTGCTAAATGGCAAAATATTTTTTACTTTTTATCCTCATGAAACCTGCGCGTCGAGTGGAAATTAATGAAATGTCACTCTAATCCATTACATCTTGCCCTGATCTTGATCCGTGTAACTGGTGATACTTCACCTCTAAACTCTGTCGTCTTTTTACATTTCAAGCTGAGACAAAAGCAGGTGAAGAGATGTCGTTAAGAAGCTGTGTGTTAAATTTTGTTTTACAGCAGACCATCCCGTAATAGTTATTCAGCCGAACTCTAGCGATGCTGCTAGCCATTCAGGTAAGGTGTTATTCCGTCTTCAGGTAACGTTCACCTGTTGTCAGCTTCCTGCTGCTCTGCGCTGCTTGACTCGCCTGCTAGATTTTACAGCAGTGATTCACTGTGGAAGATTTCTTTTGTCCATGTATTAAATCCTTAATGTGACGGACGCATGGGAAATCCAAAGCTTTTTTGTTTTTTTGTTTTGTTTTTTTTAAAGTGATATATGTCCCTTATCACATACCGAGGACTTTTTGATGATGTACTGTGTTTGGTTTTTCTCCAAACGTGGTCCTGCGGATTGTGGACAGATGTCTCCACTTTGGTCTCATCTGTCTAGTGGACATTGTTCCAGATGTTTTGTGGTTTGTTCAGATGTGATTTTGCAAACCCAATAGCCCCCCCCAGTCTAATTTTCAGACGTGCTAAAGGGGAGATCGTTTTTGTTTTACTCTGAAGAAACCCGCATGTAGAGTCGTATTAATGAAATTCATTAATGCTGATTCTGTTGCCTAACAAAATGTCACTCTAATCCTTTAAATTCTGCCCTGATCTTGATCTCTGTAACTGATCCTTTGACACCCCCCCCCCCCAACCCCTGAATGCTTGTTACGCTGTTAATTGCAATCGAAGCTGTAAGTTTGTTCCTATACTTTAAACACTGCTTCTGCATTCTGGCTTATTTCTGTTAAATAATGACACATGTCATAGGTCATTTTAAGACGTGCTGAAGGTCAGATTACTGTTATTCTAATACACGAGACTTGCATGTAGAGTGGCAGTTATTAAATTCGCTGGTGCTGTTGCCTAATAGAATGTCATGCTAATCCTTTAACTTCTGCGCTGATCTTGATCTCTGTATTCTCTCGTCTTTGTACATTTCAAGCCGAGACAAAAGCAAGCGAGGAGATGTTGTTAAGAAGCCGTGTTGATTTACCCAGTGTTGAATTTTGTTTTACAGCAGACCATCCCGTAATAGTTATTCAGCCGAACTCTAGCAATGCCGCTATGCATTCAGGTAAGGTGTTATTCCTCCTCCAAATACATTCACCTGTTCCTAGCTTCCTGCGCTGCTTCACTTGCTGCTAGATCTTGCAGCAAAGAATTGATTTAAAGGTTTTTGTGCTGCTTATGTTTTCTGTTGTTGTTGTTGTTGTTGTTGTTGTTAATGAGAAAAGCTTCATTAAGTGTTTTTCAGTGTTTCTATCTTAAAGGATTTTGGAAGGATGTTTGTTTTGTTTTTATGGCGTTATACTATTTATATGGTTTATTCCCTGCTATAAAAGATCATGGCTCAAACTGTAATAGTAGCGGTTTTCTTTTTAAGCTCTTTGGGTTTTATTTAATAATGGTTATAGAAATTTAGACTGTAAGTGTTGTCCATTTCCCACATTATATTAAAAAAAAAAAAGGACACAGAACAGAGTCATCAAAGTCTCCTTTTGCATGTACGAGCAGATTGCACAGATTGATCTTGACACATAATAATTCGTACAGATTTATAGTTCTGGAGTTTTGGCTGAAAGATTTGTACAAATATGGAGTGACATGAAATTTGGTACCGATAGTGTTCACTTAACTTGTTTTCTGGGGCCATCATCTGGTCAAATACCTTGCTTTTGTGCGCTAACATGCTAAACTAAGGCAGTGAACCCAGGCAGTAATATTATTTATGTATTTATTTTTAAATGACAAGACGTACTTTCCTTCATGTTTCATTTTCTGTGAGACGTAAGTGGTTTTGACAGCTTGTTGTCTGATTTAAGAACACTCCCACACCACACACCTGTTCATCACCTGTTCTCGTTACCTTCTGCAGGGGAGAACACACCGATTGTGATTCAGACTCACGCAGCCAAGGGGGGCTCAGGACCTGGAGAATGAACGACTGTATCAAACACTGAAGTGCAGAAAATGTTTTCATCTCAGAGATTTGTTTGTTTACATGAGTCAAACTGCAATTTATTTGATTGTGCCATAGTTATTTTTTAAAAATGTGCTTTTTCTTTGATCCAGTCTTGTATTTATTCTTTTAAAATGTTAAATTTCTGAATTTGGGGCGGAGACTAATAACAAAGCCATGCAGATCAAAGCCTCTGAGCTCGGGGATAATTATTTTTTTCCTGCGCACTTTAAACTCACACATTCATATTGAATGTTTGGAATATTCTGAAGCTGCCATGATCAGAGCACGTTTTGGCCCAAGATTCAGAAATTTTCAGATTTTTATTTTTAATATGCCGATTCAGGGGTTTCTGTGGAAGCTTGCTTCCAGCACTGGAAAGGGGGGGGAAAAAAAAAAAAAAGCCAAGCGTAAATCAGAATTTTGGTGTCAGATCTCAAAATTTCGACTCAATGACTCAGGATCTCAAGTCGAGTCTCACTTAAAGTTTCACCTAATCAGACGTGTGAGCCGGCAAGTGGAAATTTTGAGATGGTGACTTGAAATTTTGACTTAACTTTGCCTCGCAGTTTAAAAAAAATAAATAAATACAAAAAATAACAAAACGCACAGACTCTATGTTAAACGGTTTACTGATGTGGCCACAGATCACACACAGATTTATCAAACAAAGGTTTAGTTTTAAAATTTTAGCGCTGCCTTATGTGACACATTCAGTTGCCAGCTTGTAAATGACTCTTTGAAGTTTAGTCTTGTGATGCTTGCAGAGATTTTAAGGAATTACAAAATCGCCTAATTCTGAGAGTTGGATGAAGACTGTTGATCACATTTGTGTTTGTCCACTTGAAATCTACTAAGGATAGATTGTAAATGGATCAAATACCCCCCAAAATGATTTGAGTCTTCCTATAAATGCCATAATTGTAAAACCAGATTTATATACCTGCTTTTAATTAACACAAAAAGATTGGATTTACTTCAATGGTACGTTTAGAAATTAGTCTAAACGCACCATTGAGTTACATTTGGCACACCCCTTTAGGGCGAGTGCAGCAATGTGTAGAAACCAAAGAAATCACACGGAGGCTTCTGCTGTAGCGCCCTCTTTGTGTGTGATTTCACCTAACAACAACCAGCAAGCCCCAGGAACCACTCGCCGACCAGCTGGGGGAGCACACCTTTTTCCAAGCCGCCTCCTCCCTCACTACCTGAAGCAAAGAACCGGCTGGACCAGTGGACCACTGTTTATTCTGTTTGTGCAAAGATTAAACAAAAGACATGTTTTGGACATGTTGATTGATGTTTCCACTTGTGATGTTTTCAACCTTTATGCTTAAGTCCCTTTGGCTCCTGCTCAAGCTTACTTAATTATACACACAGGCACAGTGACAATAATCTGTTTTAACTCCTGGAAAGTGAGCCAGTGTTTCAGAAGAGGTACAGTTGGTCATTTTTGTCATTGCACATAAGTAAAAAAATATGCAGGGAGGTGAATAGAGTTGTGTGAATTTTTCTACACTTGACACTAAAACCATCGTTTGTTTCTTTAGAAAATAAGATCGCAGCTTTCTGATTTATTGCCATTTTGACTTTTTTGTGTATGTCGTGATTGTCTTGTAAAGTCAGAGATGTATATTTATGATTAGAGGATTTATTACAAATTGAGTATTAAGGTAAAGATTCTTTTGTTTAAATGATATTTTTCTATTTTCTCTCGGGGTAAAAATGTTGAGATTGTGCTTCATTTTGATTTCATTTTATACAAATCTGGATATAATAATAATAATAATAATATGGATGCTGATTTTCTGACGATCCTTGACTGCGGTGTATTTAAAAGCCTGCTTGTATACTTTTGTATGCCAATGATTATACTTGACGCAAAAGTGCCTGAATGCAGTTTTTGAATAATTTTACAGAAGTGTATTTTATGTCATTATCTAAACATTTCCATGCTGAGTTTGTTCTGTCCACTTTGACAGATTTCCAACTGTTGGTGTAAATTTGAGTTTCTTCTAAAGCATGAAATAAAGTTGAATAATTCAGACAATGTCATGCGGTTGTCTTATAATTTCACTGGAGTTGGCGCAGTAACCTGCCATTGGCTCCTGCAGTGCTCCACCCCTGAGAGATAGCGTGGGTTAGAGCAGGTGGTAAGTTGCCAGGCTTCCCTCTAGCTCCAGGTCAACCTTAAATACGGGAGTGTCTCAGCTGTCAATAACATGAGGATATGGAGTCATCAACAGATCCAGAGAAGCAACATTTGATTGAGACTCATTCGGAGCCTCTTGTGTGGTACGTCTTCATTTTTCATTTGACCTCCTGAAACACCAAAGTTCAACACAGATGGCTTTAAAACTGTTGACTTCCACATTGAGCCAGCCTAAGTGTAGATCTTCCGTCTTGTGTCAGGGTGAGCGGTCCAGAGAAAAAGTGCTCGGACTCAGAATTTGGTGAAGACGCCCTCAGTGTGGAGGGGCTGTGGCAGCATGAATGGCTCTGCCAAGAGGCCGATTGGAGGTCGGTGACTGAAAGGGACTCGAGATGTTTGGCCAGAAAGAAGCTTTTCACTGCATGTGCCGTCAGCCTCGTGTTCATGACGGGAGAGGCCATCGGTGAGACAAAAGACTCGTCACAAATTTCCATGCCAGCAACTCTGATTCTGCCAAAAAAATGAAGTTTACCTATATTCGTTTTTTACTGTGTCATGCATAAATATGTAAAGCTTGCTGAGTTTGAATCGCTCCATACAAACTTGATCTTAAAGTGACACACTCAGGCTTCCTCTGCCCAAACACACATACGGTTTCCTCTGCAGGTGGATACGCCGCCGGCAGTCTGGCCATCATGACGGACGCAGCTCACCTTCTGACTGATTTTGTCAGCATTGTAATCAGCATCTTCTCTCTGTGGATCGCATCAAGGCCTCAGACAGGAACCATGACTTTTGGATGGTATCGAGCTGGTAGGAACAAGTTTCTCACGAGTAGCTCTCAAGAATACACTCACCAGCCACTTTGTTAGGTACACAGGTTAAGATTCATTAACCGAAGTAGCAGTACAACATAGAAGGGTCAGAATTTGGAATAAACAAGTCAAAAGAATGAATCTGTCCTGCCTTGTATCGACAGTTTAGGCTGGTGGAGGTGCTGATGTTATGGTGGGATATTTTCTTGGCACACTTTGGATCCCTTAACTGAGCATCATTTAAATGTCACTTTTGATGGCAGCATCCTGCAGGAAAGCAAACAAAGCTCACATCATGTCAAGCTGGTTTCTCGAACGTGACAGCAAGTGCACTGTACTCAAATGTCCTCCACAGTAAATAGATCTCAATCCAGTAGAGCAGGGATGTGGTGGGTGTGGACTGTGTGCCATAATCATGTGAATATGGACCAGAAGCTTTCAGCTCATTGTTAAATCTGTACCATGAAGAATTCAGGCAGTTCTGAAACCAAAAGGGCGCCCAACCCGATACTAGCAAACTGCCCATTGAATTTATGTGCACATTAGTCCATATGAGTTGCACATACTCATATCCTTCATGTTTTTGGGGCCATTTCTGACTCTGTTACTGTTTCACGCAGAGATTCTGGCCATGTTTCTATCAGTCGTGTCGATCTGGGCCGTGACAGTAGTGCTCGTCTTATCAGCCGTGCAGAGGATCTCCGACGGGGAATACGAGATTGACAGTGAGATCATGCTCATAACATCAGGCTGTGCTGTGGGGGTCAATGTCCTGTGAGTGTGCCGAGCTTACTTTATGGATTATTTCTGCTTGGTTTAGGGGGGCAGTCAGCAGCGATGAGTGATGACGTCTATGCTTTGTTTTACCCAGGATGATCCTGATCTTGCATCAGCCTGGCAACTCACATGGCCACAGCCATGGGTTTGCCACCAACCTGACCCAGAGGGACAAGCATGGGCAGAGGAACGGCCACGGTAATGCAAGTGTGAAGGCAGCTTTCGTTCATGTGGTGGGAGATCTGGTGCAGAGTGTCGGTGTCATGCTGGCTGCCAGCATCATCCACTTCTGGGTCAGTGTAAGATTAAAAATAACAGTAAAATAACAATAACAAAAATAATCAGGATGGGCTTGATAGAGCACTGTACTCTCCAGGTACTCAATATCACTCCATCATTTGTTTCTGATCATATTTCTGTCTTCTTCACAGCCTGAATATAAAGTAGCAGATCCAATTTGCACCTTCCTGTTCTCTCTTCTTGTTTTTGGGACAACGCTTCCTGTCATAAAGGATGTTTTCAGGATACTGCTGGAAGGTAAACACACTTCCCTCTGCCTGTGGTGACGTTCAGATTTTAGCGACAGTTTAACGTGTGTATTTTCTGAAGGCGCTCCTCGGGACGTGAGTTTTGGCGCCGTGAGAGAGCTGCTGCTGTCTGTAGGAGGAGTCACCGCCATTCACAGTTTACACATGTGGAGCCTCAACACGACTCATTCTCTGCTTTCCGTGCACCTTGCCACAGGTAAGAGGCGAAGACGGTACTGTTATGTGGAGAGGAAGCAGAACCTGCGCTAAAGCCCAGTAAAAAACAGCATTTCCAGTTTTATTATGCTGTTGCCAAATATAAGTTACTTGAAAAATATGGCAAAAAACAGAAATTTTTTTTTAGTTATTTTCTGCTTTTGAAGTTGATATCACTGAAAATAGATACATATAAAAATCAAATAAGACTTGGAAATCCATAATAGTCTATTGCAAATCTGTCTGCAGATTTTTGGGAGTGCCCACTGCCCCCTTGCCCCTCCCTTGGTGGTGCCCCTGCTAAAACTATGGAGGTTTAATTAGAAATGAAACACCACACGCCCATCCTGCGCCTTTTATCCTGGTCCTGTAAACATTTGTTTTTTTGTTTGATCAGAGTGTTTGTATTCTAAGTAAATAGGATGGAAAACCCTTTGGCAAATATTGATCTATTACAGCAGTAATGTAAGGTGCCAGTCAACTGAAAAAGAAAGTTCTTATTGCTTCCTTATTCTTATTACCCTCCTAATTCAATAGAAGCAGCCAGGTGCTGCTAATCAGATGCACGTGATTAAATGATCATCAGCAAATGATTAATTCATTGATGAACTCTATAGAAGTAAAGGTTTTTGGCAATTTTCTGGAGCATTCTAGTTCTTTCTAGCAGTGAAGGTCCCAGAAAACTAAAAAAAACTAAAAACTAAACTAAACTAAAGAACCCCCAAGATCTAACTCTCAAATTCTACAGCATTGTAAGATGGTGAAAGATGCCCCCTTAGGCCCCCTCCTTGATTCAGAGATGGTCTTTCCCTTTTCACGTAAGTGGCCTCCTTGACTCTGCGCTGCAACCAGCGTTCCTCCCCGTCCAGGATGTGTACATCCTCATCATCAAAGAGTGTCCACTGGCCTGTAGGTGTAAATAGTCTGCAGAGTTAGCTCTTCTGTGTTGCGCAATCCGCTTCGTCAGAGGTTGTTTGGTTTCCCTGATGTTGAAATCACAGCAGCCATTCCCCAACTCTCTATGAATATAATCTGATTTATATAGAACACAAAAAACCCCACAAGTTCAGCATACACGATAAACAGGTAAAATATTGTCATTTTGGGATGAAGTTTTATTTACTTCCATGAACTTCTGAGTACAAGCAAAATTCTAGCATCCACAATAAAGTGAAGAGGAAGAGTTGAGACAAAGTTGTAGAAGAAGAGCACTGATGATTAAATCATGTCATTGTCTGTATTTATTTGTTTGTTTTTTTTCCAGAGGAAGATGCTGATTCGCAGATCATCCTCAGAAAGGCAACAAGGGTCCTGCGCTCCAAGTTTGGTTTTTCCAGCATCACAATTCAAGTAGAGAGCTGCAGGATTTCGGGCAGCAGTGTAGAGGTTTAAAGTTGACCGAACAGATACTGGTGACTGCAAAAGTAAAGGCACTGGGTGCTCCCATTTAACAGTTTCATGTTTGGGACTGAGGTGGCACGGTGGTTAGCACTGTTGCTGCACAGCAAAAAGGTCCTGAGTTCAATTCCACCATTCGGGTCTTTCTGTGTGGAGCATGTTCTCCCCGTGTTTGCGTGGGTTCCCTCCGGGTACTCCAGCTTCCTCACACCGTCCGAAGACATGCAGCTTGTAAAGCTTATAAATATGCACAGTATACTGCCATCACTACAATATACATGTTTTACACACTCCTTTTGTTGTTGACATTTACAGGCTGTGTGCAAAATGCCACACTCTTCAAATTCATGCCAACTAATATTTTTACGTCCAGTAGATGTCCTACTAGAGCAAATGAAGCTTCAAGACGCTTTGCGCTGGGGTGAACCAATTGGATGAAAAGCTTCAGTGCTTCATGAAGCTTCATCTGCCCATCACTATATACAGCAACAACATGGGAATAGAGCAGCTTCCAGAGAATTCAGCATTAATGAATCAATGGTACGGAAGTGGAGGAAGCGCTGTCAAAGATACTTGTCTTTGAGTGAAGATATAAGGTAATACAAATAACTGCAACTTGAATCTTTACTGAAGCTCAGTATTTGACACAGAGTTCAAGTCCACTGCTGTAATAACTAATAATGATAAATATTATAACTTTAATATTGGCCAATAAAAAAATATACTACTATATATGAACATAGTGAAGACTAATTGTTTAAGAGAATAAAGAGAGGTTAGTTTATTTTGGAGACAAGCTCCATTTATTAAGAAAATTTAAAAAAAGGCAGGAACGCTATTTAGAGGTTTGTGGGTGGCTCTTAAAAGAGCCGTTGTGGGGAAGTCACTGGGACTTCAAATAGGCTATTCTTTTGGTTGTCAAGACACAGCTCCCTCCACCGAGAAGTGGGCCATGAACTTCTCCCTCACCAGGACAGCCTCTCTGGAGAAGTTGTTGGCTGCCACATGACCCAGGCCTTGCAACGGCCAGAATTAAACCAGGTCTAAATAAAACAAATAAGGACTTTATAAGCTAGACCTTCTGAGTTTCACTACAAAGATTACAAACAGTGGTCCTCATACCACAGTTTGATATCAGCAAACACCGAGAGCATACATTGATATGACACCACAGCCATGGTATCATTGCAAACACTGATAACACAGCATAAATCGAATTCATTTAATTTGATGTTCATTTTATGGAATACTATGTTAGCTTTATGATTTCACAACCAGAAATAACAGAAATCCAACTATCCACAAACTGTCTCATGACTCCACAGAATATTTTCCCTAAGGTCTTGGGGATCATCAAGACGGTTTTTTTGGAAAACTTAAGAGGTGTTACGACCCGGCTCGAGGCCGCAACATAAAAAAGGAGGCGAATATCAGAGTGTAAGTGAGAAGAGGTTTTAGCTTAAAATGGCTCCATTTTCCCCACAACACTAAAGGTCACTGATACATTAACGGAACACACATGGTGTACTCTCTATGCAAACTAAAAAACTGCTCACCTGCCTCAGCTATAAGACCATAATGGATTCACTTGGCACAATAATTGGCTTTTGAAGTAACACCCTTTCAGATTTGTAACATTCGCAGTATCAACATTACCGCTGTGTGACGTTTGAATCGCCTTTCATCACACACGTCTGTCACTAAGACATTTAGCAGTTATAAAATTCTAAACTTGAATTTTTTTCTCGTGATTTAAAATATTTTTTCATATGAACCTTTTTTTCCCACCCTTTTCTTTACTTCTGTCTGCACCTTGCTTCACTCAATAGCTCTCCAGGGCTCGCTAGAACAGATTTGGTTTGTTTTTTGCAGCATCAGTTTCAATTTATTTCAACTGACAATCCAGGTCAAATGAAGGACGCTCCCTCAGATCATACAGGCACATAATTATGAGGTACAAATTTTTTCAAACAATACATACAAAAGAGTCTTAGCACATTATTAAGGACGGTATAGCAAGAGTTAGTCTGGATTGAAACCAGGTCAAAGCAAGCAATGAAATGTTAAACATAGATATGAAATTCCTAATCGGTAGAGATTATTCCGACATGCATTTTTTAAAGGTTTTTTTTGGGGATGTACTGTAACAGTTTAGTTTAACAAACAGTAAAAAAAAACCCAAACAAATCTAGGTAGTTATTAGTATATCACGTAACAAAACACTTTCTGGCGTGATGAGCCCAAAAATTTGCAGATAAGAATTGTTCAGCATGACAAAAATTCCTGGTTTCAACACACTTTCTGGAAAAGCAGTCTTCAATGTGCAGACTTGGGGTCTCCATCTTTCCAGTAGTTTCTGTGGGCCTCCTGGAACATGTCCTTGCATGCGATTTTAGCTTTGAGTTTCGAGCAAATGAGAAAGGAGCCGCCCATTTTTCTGTGGAGGGAGTAGGTTTCCTCTGGCGGTGGCGTGAGACGCTCTTTCAGCATCACTGGGATGAGGTTGTGGATGCGCTCAGTTGTGCTCTGCATTCCAAAGTCAAAGGGCTTTTCTGAGTTGAAGGCCTCTCCGAGGATCATCACCGCATCCACGTGGGCGTTCTCCATCGCCTTAATGCAGAAGACAAGAAAAATGATCAAGAGGCTTTCAAGTAAAAGTTCAGCATGTACAGAAACCTGCTCCTCTGCTTTTAGACGAAGAGATCAATATTAATTTTATTTGTGTTGAATAGGACGCTGCACCCAGCATCTTGCAACAGAGACTGGAAACAAGCTGAAATAATCCCCTCCATCAGCACTTCTAAAGCTAACACTTCATTCATCGTTGGTCCCATATTTATTTTGCAGGAGGACATGCAGCCAGACTCAATAAATAAATATTTCCTCTACCACAAGAGCTGCAAATGTGATTAAAGACACACAGGCCTGCTCTCAGCCTCGGGGAATAACTGGAGTTATGTGAAGAGACAGACTGAACAACACTGGAACACACTAAACCCACACAAGAACTGTAGTAAGACGAGAGAGCAATGTGATCTTCAGGCACCATATAATAAAGAGAACAAAAAAAAAGAAAAAAAAAAAGAAATTGTCATCAGTATATACTCCAAGTCATTTTTACTATCATCTCATAACAGTTCCTCTATAATAAAAACCAAGATAGCGAGACTGTTCACAAAATATTAGTGCTGTTGTAGTTCCTGTTGGGTGCCACTAGAGGTCGCTAAAGAACACCTAGTAAATACTTTGAGTGACTGAATATTTCAAAACATTTTCAATAAAAATATGGTGCATTTCAGAAGCTCCTCTCAATCTTACTTTGAACACAGTCAAATTGCTGTTTGACTGCATGAACCTTTCATGTCTTTCACGCTACATTCAAAAATACAACAACAGACAAATCATAAACATAAACTCATAGCTACTGTTGAACTGAATCACAGTGTGGTGCGGTTCATTAGTAAAATTTACAATGTCCGTTTCTCACCTTTGACTCGTATCCTGTGAGGAACTTCATTTCTCTGGATTTCAGTAGGACGCCTTCTCTGTCCTGATCTGCAGCTGCTTTTATAATCTGAGTGAGAGAAATCGCACCAGACGGTTTCACATGACGAAAAGATATTTCTCAACTGAAACTTATTGAAATTCTTGTCTGCACAACAATAAAGCACATCATCTGTCTTAACCTGTGTGGTTAACAGATATTCTCACAGCAAAATGACAAAAACAGAGTAACTTGAAAAGGACTGCAGTCCTGTCCCACGATTCAACAGCTTGTAGAACCACCTTTAGCAGCATTAACCTGAAGAACTCGTTTTCTGCACGGCTTTATGAGTCTCTCACAACATTGTGGAGGACTTTGGCCCACTCTTCTTTATAGTCTTGCTCCAGTTCAGTTTCTGGGACCACAGCATTTCAATCAGCTTGAGATCTGGACATTGGGCTTTTGCAGCACCTCGATTCTTCTCTTTTTTCAGCCATTTTGTTCTAGACTGGCTGCTGTGCTTTGGATCATCGTACTATTGCATTTAGCTGCAAACCAAACCAAATCATCACCCCTACACCACCACGGTGTTTCACAGCTGATACGAGGTGTTTGTGCTGATATGCTGTGTTTGGTTTTCTCCAAACATGGAGCTGTGCTTTCGTCTCATCGGTCAAAATGACTTTAACATGTTAACTGAGGTCTGCAGAGTGTGAGATGTAGCTATTGGGTTTTTTTGGGTGACTTTACAGGGAAACGCCTAAATGCTCCAGACCAGAAAACTCCAAAAACCTCTGTTCTCTATAGAGGTGCTCACACTTGCCGATGTTCATTCAATCAAGCACATTTCATTAGCAGTCTTGCCTGCTTAATTCTGTCAATCGAAGCAGTGTGCTAAGTTTTTCACATCCTTTTTTCATATTTGTATGTGTGTTTAGTTTCTTGACAGTCTTCATGAACACTACTTTCCAAATACAAAACAAAATGTTGTAATTACAAGTAATAATCTAAGTGTACTTCATGTGACCAGAATTATCTGGACCTAGAATGGGTTAAGGAGCAGCCAATGTTCAAGAAACATTAGAAGAATATTTATAAAGAAATGACATAACATTTGCACATCACTGTTTGAGAACTAGATAAACTAAATTCTCAGGCAGGTGTATGCATCTTTTTGTTTTTAAATTCATGTAGCATAATAGCCAGTGGGGGCAACACAGTGTACAACAACAATGAGAACACTTCTCACCTCAATGTAGGCATCAGTAAAATGCTTGTTAAATCCTCGAGTAGCTCCAAAATCCAGCAGCGCAACCTGACGTGAAGTCATAAAAAACAGAAAACACGCATCAGTGAAAAGGAGAAAGATTAAATCCACGCGTGTCGCTGATATAAGTTGGGCAAACTGACCTTATGAGTTTGTGGATCAAAGAAGAAGTTGGACCAGTTCGGATCGGTTTGCATGTATCTGAACTCAAAAAGCTCCCTCAGGCATAAAATAAGGATCTGCTCACAAATCTGGCAGAAGGAGAGACAACTGGAAGTGACATGAGTGGGTGCTGATACTTAAATAGTTATCTCTGCTACATG